AATAATTTTTTATGAAAAGGGTATTATGAGTTGAGCTAATAAAATGGTATATAATGACTGGAAATTCTTCAGCCATGGTTTATAGCATATCTCCAACTAGCATCGAAGAACAGTTTCTGCTTCAAAGCCTGGAATGTAGTGGGAACTGATGGTAAAGCAAAAGAATGTTATGGCTGGAACAGCTGGGCAAACATCTTTTCCAAGCCTGTCACTTGCATTTATATGAACTGTAAAATAAAAACAGAAGAGGGAATTTATTAACTACAGTTCTTCTAATAACCAAGTAGATCAGCTATTGCAACTACAGTTAGTTATGCTTTCTTAAATCCCTGTGTACTCATAGTTGGGAGATAAAACTTTTTAAAAATTCTCAACCTTCACTAAAGGGCTAGTGTTTTTATCAGATTTATATAAAATATTTTCAACCTGCACATGCCATATAAAATCAAAGAGGTGGCCATATAATAGTGCATGCTGTCCTCACCCTGCCTCTTGTTACAACTCTTTGTAAATAAACATTGTGCAGTTTAGGCTTTCAGCTTATGATTAGGGACACACTTTTCTAGAAATGTTTGTTTATTAATTTCTTACAGGTTTGCTTATGCATATAAATCCATTCAGTGCATGCCGTTGAATTATGCATTGCATTGTTCGTGTATTTGAATATCTTGCAACAATTCAAAAGTTTAACAATATCAAAATGAATTATGTAATAATTAATGACAATAAATAATACAATATAAATTACAAATTATAAGCCAATATAAAAGGTTGCAACATAAAATTATATGCCATTTGTATCTCAACTGCTCACTCAGACAGTGCATGACATTTTACCTTTTCCTCCTGATATTATTTTTCCCTTTAAAAACGTTTTCCCCATTCCAGTGGTGGGATTCAAATTTTTTTACTACCGGTTCTGTGGGCATGGTGTGGCTTGGTGGTTGTGGCTTAGTGGTGTGGCAGGGGAAGGATACTGCAAAATCTCCATTCACTCCCCACTCCTGGAGGAAGGTTACCGTCAGTTCTCAGAATTACTCAAAATTTCCGTTACCGGCTCAGAACCTGCTGAATACCACCTCTGCCCCATTCCCCATTGTCTATTTTTATGACAATTCTTTTGGACAGGTTTAGCTTTTGTTCATCAGTTTTTCTGTGCTCCAAGTAGAATGTGATTCAGAACAGTGGTCCTCTGAGCTTCAGCAGAGTACTAGGAGAAAATGCACACAATTTACATTAGCAGTGAAAATCAAGCCAACCAGGATTAGGATTGGATTTACTGGGAAACTAGGATTGTGAAATTGAGTTGGCATCTTATAAGGGCATGGATGGAGAAAACATCTGCTATTTCAAAGTGCCTATGATCAGGAATAGATAAGATACACGCAAATAACAATGGAAGGCAGCAAATGCATATCAATGGAGGATGAATGGACACATTTGCATGTTTAGAGAGAGAAAAAATGGACTGAAAATATGAATGTACATATGAGGATCCAGAACTCAGAAATGATCTTTCAATGCCACCAAAAAAGCATGTGGTTTTTCTAGCACTTCCTGCTTCTTCCACAATTACTGCATGCAATCTTCATGCTTATATACTAAACACAGAGTATATTATACTGCCCTCTTAGGCATATTCATATTGAGCAGCAATTTTGTTCTGCCAAAGTATGAGCCTCAAGATGCCACATGCATGATGCCACACAACAGACACCAGTATGCTTACATATCACCTGGCCAATGAAGAGACCAGAAATCTGCAATTTTGGAGGATTTTGTTGAGTTCGGTACTGAACCTCTTCTGAGAAGGTTTTCCATTTGGAGGCTATGATCAATGGAAGAAGACTGTCTTGGCCCCACTGATTAGGTACAATATGATATCGTGGCTCTTTACCTGGCTCTCTAACATTCCCATTTCTGTACTCAAAATTCTGTCTCACCCAGAATGGATTTGCATACCACATATTGTCTAACCGTTTTTATTTTTACACATTAAGTGATGCCTGAACCTGCATTCCTGGGAACAATACCTGCTGCTGTAAAACTGACTCTTTTTAAAAGTATTTACATATTCTCTAATGCCACAGATGACAAGAATAATTCCATTTCTTTTTCAGGTGCTATTTCTAGATAGAATATAAAGATCAGCAAAGGAATTTTCTGTGGTTCTTTTGTCTTGCACAAGGTAAATTCTATGATTGTGCAAGGATGTTGGCAACGTTAAGTCTTGTGAAATTCAACTCCCACAATTCCCCAGCCAGCCTGATCGGATGTGAGCAATCAATTGCCGACCAGATTGTTTGGCTGAGAAAGTAAAAAAGTGAGAATGCTGGTAAAGAAGTTAAACAACCAGTAGGATTTCCTTGGCCAAGGAAATGGTGGCATCCAGGGGAAAGACTGTCAAAAACATCAAGATGGCAATCTCAATAGGACAGTCAAAGCCCTACAGCTTTGTTTATGCATGCACATAAAAGGGAGCTGAGACAAACTATCATTTCAGTGTTTTTATTCCCTCCCTCCACTGTGGATGCTGTCATAGAAGAACATATGCTGGGCCTTCCTCATCATCACTTTGACTACGGCTCCAGCAAATAATGAGCTACATCCAGATCTGGGATGAAGTTAGAAATTATATTGGCTCCCTCCAGTCTTATCATACAATGCTTCATATGTTGTTAGCCACAAGAGAGATTAAAGGCTTCTCCAGTTATCTGGGTGGCATTATCTATAACCTGACTTCAGGGATGGAACCTGCAGCCCTTTAGATATTACTGAAGTAGAACTCCCAGCAGACCCAGCCAGGATGGGCCCTTGTTGTAAAATGCTGTGAGTTTCAATTCAGCAACATCTAAAAAGTCATGATTCTCTACTTTAATTTTCAGACTTCATCCTGAGAGACCAGTAAGATAAACCATCACTCTTCTCTGAATATTGGATCCTCCATGTCGTTTGGATGTAAGATTCTTGCTACATTTGAAGCACCTATTATGCTGACAACCATGATACTCTCAGGAGCAGTTGTGTTAATTTGTCAAGAATTTCTTTTTATACTGCTCTTTTCTAAGCCAGAAGAATTCCCTAAAATATTGTCCGTCCGTTCCCCGAAAAATGTTATCTTCAGTTCTTCCCCTCTCTCCAACTTCCTCCTTTAGAATCTGAAAGACCTCAGTCTAGTTCATTAATTTGGTTATTTCCATCTGTTCAAGAAAGGTAATTGTGCAGGCTTGCTAAATTATCGTATAACTAATGTTCAGCTCCAGCTCAAGACATTTAGCTTCCTTAGAAAGAGGACAAAATAGCATACTTCATCATTCTGCTTATAGGACCTTCATTTGTCTTTAACACTGGGCTGCTGAACTTCCTGAACATTTTACTTAAACAGCAGGATGTGTTTTTGTGAATTCTACTGGTTTACATTTGTGGTGACATTACTCCATAATACAGATGCAAAAAGGTTTCCAAAGGCAGTCTACTCTCCCATGTTAATGTAAGCATAAACCAATCCTATTATTTTTTAAAACAAATATTTTCAAGTTGTAGTATTAGAAGAACAGAGAAAGACAAGGACGGTCATGTTTCAGTCTTGAGGAATGTACTAATTTTTCCAAACTAAACTGGGGAGTTTTGCTCTGGTGGGGAGGTGGGTGAGTGGGGGCAATGAATCAAAATGGTAGTCAAAATCATTTAATCTTAAGATCCTTCCTTTTTTAGATATGCCCTGTCTGCATGCAGGATGGGGTGAGGTTTCCATTACATAGTCATAGCTACCCTTTTGGCTATTTTATTTCACTCCTGCCACCCAGGACATGCTTGTCCACTGATCTGATCAGTTACTCAAGTGGCTAAGTAGCAGACCTTAATATAAAACAGTAGTTTATTCCATACTGCATTTGCAGCTCCAACCAAATTAAACTTCCTCTGTGTGTGTTTGTGTGTTTTGCATGGCAAACTAATCTGCAAACCACAAACATCGTGAAGATGGCCACTTTACTCTTGCCCTTTTACTCCTGGTGATACGAGGTCCTGTAACCACATTGCTTAAGATCCCATTTTCGATCTACAGGGATGTGAAACCAAGATTAATCACTGAACTTGTAGGAATCATGTCGAACACTAAAGTTTCTCATGCTGATTTTATTGACAAGCAGTTAATATTTGGCTGAAAAGCATAAAGGAAAATGTCCATCAAACTTGGGAAAAAGAACTGTAATTAACCTGATGCATTTGATTGATAACAATCTAATGCAGTTGATTGATACAATGAATGAAAAAGAAATCCTACAACGTTAGACTGTTTTAGTCATTCTTGTCTTCTAAATAGAAGAAACATTTGAGCAAGAATTAAGAAATCTTGCAATATAAGCCAAATGTAGAACTATTTCATTACCAAATGTACTCTAATTTAAGAATCTACGATTAGTATTGGGAACAGAAACTACCATGAAGTTTTAACGGACTTCTCAGTTAAAAAATAAATAAAAAGCAGCAATCCAGAGTATCTGAAATGAAGTAGTGCACATGTCATGACTCAGCATACTGGAAACAGTGACTCAGCACTCCACATCACTGTGCAATGCAGAGACACCGTCAGCTTGGTGCATAGATAATCACCACCTCACTCCCAAAAATACATTACTAAAAATGCTATCAGGGCCATAAACTTTTTTAGGGGGAGGGGGAAGGCTAGCAAAACAGAAGGCCTGCATTATTTCAGTTAAATAAAGAAAGGAAATGGCAAAAGATGGAGACTAATCCTTGGTATAAAAAAGAAATATTGAGTTTTAAAAGCCACACATCAAACTGCTCCTGTTATAGAACAGGATTTCTATAGATTTTAGATTTTGAATTCCTTTTTAAAGGTGATTTGTTTTATGTTTAAGCAGACCATAAGAAGAGAGTAAATGCCAAAGCAGGGTGACTGAAATTGTGTGAGGATTACCACAGTCTAAAATTTATATCACTTGAAGCTTTATGTATACAAACTTGTGTTTTTCGTGTAAAAGAGAAGATAAAGATTAGGCATTTATAATACAAATGAAATTCTGGCCAAGATTTATGTTTGTTTTATCAAGCCATATTTACAGAAGTGTTTAGTGTGTGTTTGTGTTATTGTGCATGTGCATATGTGTTGTGCGTATGTGTATATGTGTTTGTATCTATATCTTCCTCTTCTGGTTAAATAACTTACTTGTATTACCAGTTCAATTGGGGGAAAAAATCCAACCAATCTCATTTCAGACCTTCTATGTACATGTGTGTATGTGTCTTCACATCACACCCTTGCATATTGTGCAAACCAGGCCTATAGATTGATTCTTTGCCTGCATCCCTTCTGAATCTGATTTTGTTGAGTTAGAAACATCAATAAACACTTGCCTGGTCACATCTAGGCTGGTCTTTTTGCAGAAAAGGAACCACTGCTGTTCCATTAAAAGGCAAGATAGAAGCTTTCTTCTCAGCATCATGAGGTAAAGTTTATTTTCTCTTAGGCTGATGTCCTTTATACAGTGATCTAACTCTTC